TTTATTTTTTATGTGGTGCTGAGGATGGAACCAGTGGCTCATACATGCTAGGCAAGTACTCTGCCACTGAACTACAACCCCAGACCCTGTGGTCTTATTTTTTTTTCAATAAATTTATACCTTTTGACCTTTTGGGGATTTTCTGGACCTGTTGGCTTAACCTTTTCACCATATTTAGAAAAACTTTGGCCATTACTTTACCAAATATTTTTCTGTCCCTTCCCCCTTGTAGGACTCTAGTTATGTGTGTTAGACACTTTTATATTGTCCTACAACTCATTTGTATTCTGTTTCTTTATTTTAAATATTTATTTTCTTCATATTTTACTTTGGATATCTTTATTGTTATGTCATTAAATTCCAAGAGGCTTTCTCTCATGCATAGATCAGTACTCATATCAGTGTTCAAAGACTTGAGGGGAACTTTTAAGTATCCAGAGTGTGTTGCTCCCCCCCATCCTCTCTCTTTCCCTCTCTCCTCTCTCTCCCTAACTTATTCATCCCCCATACTGGTCCTTAAATTCTAGCCACCTGATCTTTTTTTTTATGCTCAGCACACCAAGACCACTGGTCTTTATTTTGGTGTCCTTCTTACACTGCAGCCAACAAACTGCTTTCAAGCAGTAAACTCATGCAGAAGTAAAACTCACCTTATTTGTTTTTAGGGTCTACAATACCATGCTGCTTTTGGTCTAATGTCTGAAAAGCAGTTTTTAATATATATTTTGTCCAAATTTCTAATTGTTTATGACAAAAGGAAAAGTTGGTGCCATTATTCTCTCTTAACTGGAAGTGGTATTTGTACTTATAATAATTTGTTAGATGGGTGAAACCTTAAAGTGTCTTACACATCTTAAAAGATTTATTATCATTGAGTTATATCAGAGTTTGATCCTCATAAGACAGTATGAGAATTCAGTTTTCTGAAATTTATGGACACTACGTTCATAATTGTTAAAATATTTTTTTCATACACACATATTTTGGACATATGTTCAAACACAAGGCAATCTGACTATATAATATGATTCTCTGGTTTCCCAGTGAAATTCAAGATAAGATTCAAAAAAGAAACACACACACACATACACTCATATTTTAAGGAGTAGAGATAAAATACTAAAATATCTGCTTATAATTTCCCATTAAGTTATAAATATATAAAATAACATCAAATAAACAGATTATTTTAAAATATCACTTTGCCCACTCTCACCTATATGAAATGATTCTATTTAAACTCTTTTTAAATTTTATTTTTTTTCTTTCACAGCCTTTAAGATTTTATCTTTATTTTCTGTGTTAGTCATTCTCATAATGTGTCTTGGTGTGGGTCTTCTGTAATTTTGTACATTTGGGGTCCTGTAAACGTCTTGTATTTGATTTTCCATTCCATTCTTTAGGTTTGGAAAATTTTCTACCATTATATCATTGAAAAGATTGTGTCTTCCTTTGGTTTGTATCTCTGCTCCTTCATCTTTTCTGATAACTCTTAAATTTGGTCTTTTCATGTTATCCCATAATTCTTGAATTATTTCTTACCATCTTCTCTGCATGTTCAATTCTATTTTCAAGATTATATATTTTGTCTTCATTGTCTGAGGTTCTTTCTTCCAAGTGGTCTAGTTTGTTGGTGATGCTTTCTATTGAATTTATAATTTTGTTTATTGATTTCTTCATTTTGAGGATTTCTGCTTTTTATTTGTTCACAATCTCTACCTCTTTATTGAAGTAGTCTTTCACTTCCTGTATTTTTTCTTTGATTTCACTCCTTACACTGTCCTTTACTTCACATACCAATTTAACTGTATACAATCTGAACTCCTCCTTGGACATTTCTTTGACTGTTTTCAGTGGCTTCTGTTGTTGAAACATCTTGGTTTATTTGGGGTGCTCTATTCCCTTGTTTTTTCATGTTGGTATTGTGTTTTCCCATGTAAAAGTATGGATCTATGATAGGATAAATTCTACCCTGTAGACCTATAGTGTCCCTGAAGATTTATAGTGCTTCCCCTGTACTGGTGAGACCAATATCAACAGCACCCAATGTACAGAATATATAGTTTTAAACCTAATAGCTCCCACCTAGGCGTATACTGCTTTCTTGCATTAAACCAAAATGATGAGTTCAATAACTATCTATAGTACAAACAGAATAATTGTTAAAACGATTTACAATTTCAAATGGTGGATGAGAGAACAGAGGTAGTATAGTATGCAACATTCACGAGGGAGGAAGAGAGAGGCTAGAAGTAAAAATTCATAGGAAGAGTGGAAGAGGAGCCGATAGAGATTGGCTGGTGGTTGGAGAAACTTTGGAAAGAAAATCCAAGAAAATAGACAAGAAAGAGGAAGAATACGGACAAAGAGAAAAAATTAACGACATAAGAATACAACAAAAATGCAAAATACCATTCATATATCATTGTCCTCCACACACTGATGCATAAAAAACATCCTGTTCCAAATATGGTAGAGATATTGGTGAATCAAAAAATAAAATAAATCTTGCTGGAAAGTAGAACTGTCTCTGTCAGTGTTTCTCAGCCTCATCTCTGACATCTCTTGGGATCACTAAACTCAGATCAGCCCTTGTAAACCCAGTCTCTATCCCACTGATCTGGGCTTCAGATACCTCAGTCTCGGCCATGCTGCAGTCCCAAGATCTCAATGTGCTCCTACTTGCAGAGAGAGCACTAGGGATACTCTCATGCAAAGGAGCATCTCCGAGATATAGCAGCAAGTCAAAGGCTACCAGCATACTCAGCAAGAAGACCCTAGGCTCCTCCAAACCCACAGGCACCCCCACACTGGACCTGCAAGTCCCAGCTGGAGTCCCCAGACAGAGGCTCTTGTGGTGGCAAACCTGCTGGCACCCAGGCCCCAGGCCCTGGCTGGTATCCCAAAATGGGTGCAACCATGTGCAACCAAACCTGGAGTCTCCCCGTGGTAGCAGTAGTAGTGGCGGTGTTTGTTGGCAGCAGGCAGTGGGTTGGCAGTAGCCGTGGCTACAATGGCAGCTGCAACTGCAGCTGTGGGGGCAGCAGGTGATCTTCAGGGGTTAGCAGCAGTGTTGGTTTCATTTGCATTCGGGGCAGTGGTTTCTTCCGTGGCAGCAGCACTCAGAAAGAAGACCTCCAGGCAATCTCAGGCTGGCAGCAGCAGAATCAGAGGCAGCAGCAATGGCAGTAGTGGTGCAGGCCTCTATTTAAATTCTTACAAACATCTTTGACATGAATGATTTTGTGATTTTACTTTCTTTTTAATTATCTAAAATAATCATTTTTGTGCCATCAAAGGTATTTGATATATGGTATTTGACTTTTTATGTATGTTGCATCACTGGAAATTTTACCCAGGGATTAAGTATTTATTCACATTGTAGAAAACAGTTGTCATTTCTTTTGTTTTCCATCTGGCAATCACCATATGAAAAACACTTATTGTATGCTTTTTAAGTGATTTTTTATAAGGCTTATTTAAAATATATCCAGCAACTATTATTGGGTGCATCAAACCCCCCAAATAATTACTATCTAATAAACCTGTTCAATTTCTTTGTCTTTTTTTAAATACCCATTCCATCAGGTGACCTCTGTAAGCATCCAAAACTAATATTTCAAGGTCATTTTAGACTAGGATTATAGGATAAAATACAAGTTGTTCAGTTAAATTTTCAATAAATGACAAAATTATTTTTAGTATAATAATGTTCCAAATGTTGCATGGGACATATCTATTCATAAAAAAATGTTGTTTATTTGAAATTTAAAGTTAAGTGGACATTTTTATTTCTGGTTTAATCTGATAACCTCATTTTAGACCATTGTGTCTTCCTCAACTAAACTATATAAGATGTTGCTTATGAACAACATTTTGAGTGACAATATTTAGAGAAAAACTTACTTTATATTGAAGCAGTAACTTCCACCATCATTTTCTTCTTAAGCATGTAATGCCATATGCACACTTGAATGTATTTCCAAGTATTTTTCCCTGGTGGGAGGTAGAAATTAATTCAGAACAAAATACAATCAGCCCTCCCTATCTGTGGGTTTCATAGCCACAGATTGAATCCACTTAATTTGTTTTTTTAAGTTGCTTCTGTGCTGAGCATGTACAGACATTTCTGCTCATCATTATTCCCTAAACAATATAGTATAACAACTATTTACATAGCATTACATTATTATAAGTCACCTAGAGATGACAGTTTATAGAAGGATGTATGTGTGTTCTATGAAAATACTACGCCATTTTTATATAAGGGACTGGAGCATTTGCAGATTTTGGTATGGTTAGTAGGTGCTGAAACCAGTACCCCCGCCCTCACACTTCGGAGCAACTGTATAAAACCAGGCCAACAATTCTAAGAATATGCCACAAGAACACACATTATACATTAAAACATTGTGCTATTCATTAACACGGGTTTGGGCTAAATGAGAATGCTCATTTTTTTTCATGTTTTCACATGTGGCATACATGCATTTTTCAAAGGCAGTGTCATTCTTTTCATAATGATGTGACCACATAGATTGCAGGTATTTCCTAAGCCACACATACCAGGAAGGCCATTTACAAGGCATATTATAAAGAAATGTTCTTTTTCTCTTTAATCCTAATTCGTTCTTTAAAAAAAAAAGTCTCACAGATTTGATTTCTTCATAAAACTAAACATGTTTTCTCCATTTATTCTTAGGCACCATAACTTGCATGCTTTCATTTTCCCCTTCTGTATTATTTGGAAAAAGTAATTCAATTTACCCAGTAGTTCAGAATCCTAGTGGGGTGTCAGATCTTTAATAACTTAACTTGTTCTGTCATTTTATTAAATTAAGAGGAAAAAATAACCATTTGCCACTTCAGATCCCATTTCAGAATCTAGGAAAAAGTGCTCAGTTCCTTTGTGGCTCCTGAGTACCTTCAGTTAATATCAAATTGTACCCAGCTTGAATCATTTCCCATGATTCACAAAATCATTTTTGTTCTGTTCCCAGGGCTACAAATTGGAAATAAAGTGATAAAACTTGGAAGCAATTCAATAAAACATCCCTAGGAAGCATGAAAGTCTTAGATTATGCAGTTGGTAAGTTTAAGATCTTGCCCAGATGTGTTGAAATTATCCTTTGCACAGTAAAAATATCCACTGCCTTCTTTAAGTCAGTGGTTTTTTTTTCCTCTTCTTTTGTTTTTTGACAGCAAAACAGCTGCTCTTGTTGGCAAATGACACCACTGGTTCTGAGGGAAATTGGAGCTCACTGCCTTTGAAACTGCTGCAATGGGGAGGTCCAGTAACTTCTTCATACCCTGGCTTAAAAGGAATTTCTCCCAACACATTCCTATCCCTAAAGAACATCCCTGCTTTCCTTTCCAAGGCAGTCCTTTCTCTATGAGCCAGAAAGTCCCTGCCAGGGCTGGTGGCCCAGCATTGACATTAATCAGAGCTTCATTGGCCCTGCTACTCAGTTCCTCCCCCACATTAGATATTCATTTTTCTAGGCAAGAAAATGTCCTGTGCGCTAAGCAGAAGACCATTAAAGAAAACTTTTAAAAGATGAATTTAACAGATTGTATTTCCTCGGGGCTTGTTTGTTTTCTTTTCCCATTTTTAAGGGCAAGTATATCTAGAGCCACCATGTTTATAATAGTCTTTTTCAACCAGTAACTGCCAAACCAACTTGAAAAAATGCCTGACAGTTTTTCCTTTGTAACTTGATTTCTTTCATGGTATTTTATACTAAATGATGATTTATTCAGATGGAAATGGGCTCTTAGCCCCCGACAGGAGGGAAATGTTCTGAGGAGGGATCCTAGAACTGTGTTCTGACCTGAGTTGGTCTATTGGGGCACAGTTGGGGCAAATCAGTTCTCTTCTGTTGGTGTCTCAGATTTTCCCTTCTGTGGCAGGAAGGGTGGTAGGTTCTGATACAAATAGGGGTCTGCGAGGTAAAATCTGCAGCTAAAACAGGTGTCTTTACAGAGTTCCAATATCTATCTTTGTGGGTTAGTTGAGCCTTTTAAAGGGTCTCGGTGGGATCCACAATTCCCCGTTTCTCCTGCTGTTATCTACTCACTACTCTGTGACCTTCTTACCTTATATATGCCCCAATGGCACCAGGCACAGTGGCTGGCAGAAAATGGTACAATCAAATTTGTTAAATGGATTGATTTAGAAAGATGATGCTTAAAGCTACGGATTCTCATTGGCTGCCTCCCAAAGTGAGCAGAACATAAGAGGAAGAATGACAGGCAATAAGGAAAGGACTATCTTAACTTTGTGATTTTTTTAAAATAGATTTCCATTGCTTTTTCTCTTCCCAGAGGAAGTTCCTTAGCCATTTCAATTTTTGACATCTACTCAAAGCATTGAAAATTTCTAAGCACAGTGAACTATTTACCCTTACTTCATCCAGAATTAAATAACAAGGAAAATAATTTCCCCCACACCTGTCTTCTTATTCAGCTGTACACCACACAGGTTCTCAAAGAAGTTGACCACTTTTTTTCCCATTATACTAAGATACTTAGGGTATTTTAATTGAAATTAAACATCAGACCAAATCTGTGCTTTGAATAAAGGAGTCTAAGACCCCCAAGTGATGCTGGAGGCCAGTGTTGCCTTCTTCCCCATTTCTCCTGCTTATCTCTGTTGTCTACCAGATGCCAATCCCACGTCTAGTCTTACAGGATATGAAGGGTGGGATACTACTACATGGTGTCCTAACAGCTTAATTCCTTGTCTGTATTCCCAATAACTCTCATCTCCTTCACCTAGCACGGTGTCCAACACTGTGCACACTTCTGTAAGTTACATGAAGACCAAGAATGAACCCTTGCATTTATCAAGTGACTACTGTATGCCAGCCACCATCTCACACTCTCATTTAACACTGACAACAATCCTAGGATTCAGGCTATTACAATTATTTTCATTTTCCAGATGAGGAACCTGGTGCTTAAGAGTTTCACATGATGACAAAGATGCACATCTCTCAGGCAGAGCCAAGATTCAGATTAAGCCCACCTGCCTCGGAGAGTGCACCTTCACATCCACAGGCAAATTAGCAAAATTGTGTTTTCCATCAAGTCAATAAAGGAATGAGGGAGGAGGAACTGAGAGTGGCAGTTTTGGGATAAAACTGATTTTGAGGGTGGAGGTGCAGAGAGACCACAGGAAACTAGGGGCTTTGGCATGGATCCACACTCTAGAAGCCTGTCCCACTTCTGGATTTTCAAGCTATACAAGCAAGTAAAAGTCCTTACACTTTGAGCCATTTTGATTGACTTTTGGTTATTTGCAACAGAAAGCACTGGGCAAGCTGGGCTTGGGATCCTTCACCCATCACTTCCTCCTCTGCTTACTAATTATTTGCAGCTGTGTTTCTTTTCTCTGGGATAATATTCTTTAATGAAATCTTAATTGATATGTATCATATACCAGTTGGAAATTAAATTACATCAATAGATTGACTTTTAGACAATTAGAAATGTGCTCACATGCCTTTGTTTTTGTGATTTTTATTTCTTATTTTAAATTCTGTGTTTATTTCAGGCTCCCGAGAGTTTATGAAAGTCTCCCACTCTACATGGAAACAGAGGTAACATTTATTTCTTGGTGGTGCATTCCAAGCATACTCGCTATTCGAAAGCCCTCTTACACTCATTTCTGAGCTCATTTATTTATTTAAGAGCTGCACAATCCCAGCTTTGTCCCTGTGGTGGAAAGAGATTCTACCACATTCAGACAGCAATGACTGGTTTAGAAATGGTTTGTCTTGGTCCAAGCCAAATGTCTCTTCTGCAGCTTTCATTATGTCTAAATGATGCTCTTATCCTTAAACAGAACACACTTTCTCAGTCCCCCAGGAAGCACTTGATTTATTCTCCAGCCCCAGGGACAGGAGGAAGCGGAGGCTAAAGGGTAATCACACAGCCAGGTGAGCCTCCATTGAGCTGTAGCCTGGGAGAAAATGGTTTTAAATGCTGAAAGGGTTTGGTGTGATGCCAACCTATTCTCTAAGGAACTTGCTCAGCCTGCCCTGGAAATTGGATAGACAGGAAAGAAAGGATTCAGAATACTTCCAAAGGGGAACACCTGAGGCAGCTGTCATCATCCTGGCCACAGAAGATGGTCACCAGGAACAATGCCTGTAGTGACCTGGAAAAGAGAGACCTAGGAGAGTGTGAGTGTTCACAGCCCTGGCTCTTGGGGTTGTAGAGCCTGGGGCTTTGGCATCCACTAAGGATTGGTTACCCCATTTACTGTCTATATTTGTTCCTATCTGCATAAGGAACAAGTATAGACAATAAGTGGGGTAACAGTACCAGGTGTTTGAAGGAAGACAGATGTCTAGGTTAAGTTACCACTAGAAGAGTTGATCTTGGCATTCTGGGTTCTGAGTTTCCTCCCCTGCCATCAAGGATGTGAAGCTGAGTGGAATAAGGGACACAATCCCTGAGTTGAGGATCTCAAAAGGCAATTCCAGGCACAGCTGTGAAATAAGAGTCTAAAGGACTGCTCTTAAAACTTCATTCATTCACTGAGACCTACTGTGCACCAAACAGGGTGTCAGGTTCCTGGGATGCAGTGAGAATAAGCATGCACATTTATTGGGTATGTAGGGGGACAGGCTGTGTTGCAAGTCTAATAATAATTAAGTATTCTGTCTTGGTCTGTGTTGTGTTGCCATTAAAAATACCTGTGGCTGGGTACTTAAAAAGAAAGGAGGTTTATTGGGTTCACAGTTCTGGAGGTCTAAGAGAATGGCACCAATGTCCTGGTGAGGGTCACTTGGCTATATTACAACGTGGCAGAAAAGGCAAACAGTCACTTGTAGAAGGGCATGTGTATGAGCAAGGGAGCAAGAGACCAGGGAGGGACAGGCTCAGTCTTTTCATAAAAACCTGTTCTCACGGGAACTAATCCATTTCTACCTAACCTGACTCACTCTTATGAGACAACATTAATCCATTTGTGAGGGTAGAGTCAAATGACCTAATAACCTCCCATTAACCTCTTAAAGGTCCCACCTCACACTACCACACTGGGGACCATGCTTCCAGCACATGAACATTTGGGGGACTCCCATCTGAACTATAGCCAATGCTAAATTCACTTCTTATTGTAAGACATGCTGTTGTAATTTCTCCCCTAAAATGAAAATTTTTATAATTCAAAGATAGCCCTTTCTATAATACGTCAAAGTAAATAGTAGCAATTCAAGAAACATGCCCAGGCTCAGAGTAACTGGATTCAGCTTGTGAGATTCCTTGAAAGAGTTCTACACAAGGCCAGGGCCAACCCCATCCCCTGAAGAGTGCCTGGCCAGCTGGAAATACCTGCAGCTCCCTCAGCTCCAGCTTCACTTCCCAATTTGCTCCACTTTAATCTCTACCTTTTATGTAATGTCTAGTTGAGACCACAGGGTCACCTTAGCCTCTGTGGATGAAACAGAGTAGGGTTCCTGGGGGAATTAGAAATTTCTTGTGACAATGATCTGGAAAAAGGCAGTCCCAAGCAAAGATGGACAGCAGACACTGCATGTTAGGCTGGATCCTGCTCTCTGAGGTCTACTCCTTAAAGCAAGTGCACTAGAGCCAGGGGTAGAGTGGCTACCCCATGCATGAAGAACTTCCATTTCAGACTTTTCAACATTATTTTAAAATAATATCATACATTCAATCCCAGAGAAAATTAACAAGAGGGAAAGATGTCCATTGCTTAAACTTAAAGTTGTGTCCCACTCCCACATCACACACCCATGGTGCTTTAGGAATTAATATACTTTTATAAATGTCATAATTATTCTGTGACAGGCACAATTATATTATATCATATTCTGTGCAGGCATGATAGATAAGTCAATTTGTTAAACTGTGAACATTCAAAATATATCAATATTTTTGAAACTGCTTTTTGGCATTCCTTTATTTTTTTAATACATTGGATAATTAAAGAAAAAGAATTACAGCCATCACATTTTTTCACCTCAGAGAGTGCCTACCTGGCCTGACTGTCTGGGCCTCCAGGTAGAGGGGGGCATACTTCTCAAAACATACTGCCCAGGCCACTGCATCCCTACCACCTGGAGGTCACTCAAAATGTAGAATCTCTATCCCACCTCAGAATCTGACTCTGACTTTTAACAAGAGCCTCTAGCAATTTCTAAGCACCTTGAGAGTTTGAGATGTATCATTGTCGAGAATATAAGGAAGAGATAAGCCATCTGTTAGTTAGGCATAATAACAGCATCCTATTCTCTGTCTCTATTTGGCCCTGTTTGGCACCATCTTTAACACAGTTGTACTTAAGTGCTGTGTTTGCTTTGTTTGTTTGTTTTTGCTGTGTTTGGAAGTAAAGAGTGAGAACTCTAAGCAGTACACAAAGACTCCCTGAAGAATAATTCATGCAGAATCATGCTCTAGGATTCCCTAACTCCACTTGAAGGCCAACCAAGCTTCACTCTCTGAGTATGTCCTTGAAGTAAAAAGAGGCAGATATGGGAGAAGCTGCTGTAAAACTGATGGGCCATTTCCATGAGAGCAGTTTGTTTTCAATCCAAGCCTATTTCTATGCTGAAATTGTCACCAAGGAGTAGGTGAGACTAGAATTGATTCCATTCATTCACCAGTTTGTTATTGAGCACCTGGTACAAGGTCTGGCAAACTATACCTGAGGACCAAACCCAATCCACTGCTTGATTTTATATAGCTCTTCAGATTTGATATATGAATTTTTGCAATCATTTTTTTTAGGGAACATGAAATTTTAACCCCAATTAATCATAATGGTATTCTCCCTGCACAAAAAGAAATATACTGAATTTAAAAATTGTACTTAGTGGGCTGGGGATATAGCTCAGTTGGTAGAGTGCTTGCCTTGCATGCACAAAGCCCTGGGTTTGAACCCCAGCACCACACACACACAAAAAAAATTGTACTCAGAGCTTCTGGGTGTAGAAATCCAAAATGGCACGGTAAGAGAAGTCAACCTTCATTCTTCTATCAGCCAAAATAATCCAGAGAGGTTTTAGGGGCCCATTAAAGAATCTGCAGTAATACAACAGAACACAAAATGGAGAATAGCTGTATAAAAGGGTTACTAATTAAATTAGCAGAGACACTAGGAGACAGCTAGGAAAAAATAATGGTGGAGGCTATTGGTATCAACCACATGGTAAGAACCACTGTCGCTCCCAGTGGCCTCTTTTGTGGAGTACACTCACATCTCTTGCCCCTGAGGTCACCATACTATTCAAAAAGGGAAATGTAGCTCCATAGCCTTTCTCTTCCCAAGAAATGGTCATTGTTGAACTGCTTTGGGGAAGGAATCACTCCTCACAATTTCCAACCTGGAAGTGTGTCCAACCCACAAATGCCTGCACCCAGATTTTATGGCTACACTGGGTCTGCTCACAGTTTGGACACAGGAGTCATCATATAGGAAGGTGGTTTACACTTTGGGCCTGGAGAAAGCTCTCACTATGCATTATCATGCTCCAGGCTCTAGCTCAGCTGCCATAAAGAGCTAGACCCCCACCCTGATACTAGAGGCATTTGCTATACCCACTGATGAACTCCCCAAGATTTAACAAGATAAGGGACAGAAATACTGTAAAATAAGGAGATTTCAGATTTCAGATGTAGCTGAGTGGTAGACAGCTTACCTAGCTTGTGTGAGGCCCTGGGTTCATTAAAAAAAAAATTAGAGAACTTTAATGACCCACTTTCAACAATAAACAGTTCATCAAGACAAAAAAAAAAATCAATAAGAAGCTTTAGACATGAACTGCCTTTTGGACAAAATGGACCTTACAAATAAATCCAGAATCCATCCAATAATAGCAACCGTGTAAAGTACACATTCTCTCGAATAGTTCATATGTTAGGCCACAAAATAAGTCTTAACAAACTTAAGAAGATTAAATCATATCAAGTATCTTTTCAAGCCACAATAGTATAACAATAATTTTGGAAAATTCACAAATATGTGGAAGTTAAACAACATGCTCACAAGCATTTCTTCAAAGAAGAAATTAAAGGGAAATTAAAAGTATTTCAACACAAATAAAAAATGAAAACACAGCATATCAAAACTTATGGGACACAGGAAAAGCAATTTTAAGAGGAAAATTTATAGCAATAAATGCCTACATTAAAAAAGATTCTAAATAACCTAATATCACACCTTAAAGAACTAGAAAAATAAGGAGCAAAAAAGCCTAAAGTAGGTAGAAGAAAGAAAATAATGAAGATGAGAGCAGAAATACATGAAATATAGTCCAGAAAAACAATAGAAAATATCAGTGGAAACAAGAGTAGGTTTTTTGGAAAGATAAACAAAATCAACACATCTTTAGCTACACTAAGAAGAAAGAGAAGACTCAAAATAAAAAGTAAAAAAAGATACTTTACAATCAATACCACATGATACAAAAAAGTCCTAAGAGACTACTATGATTTATACACTAACAAATTGGATAAACTAGAAGAGAGAAATTCCTAGATACAACCTGCCAAGACAAAATAATGAAGAAATAGAAAATCTGAACAGACCAATAATGAGCATGCAGATTGAAATAGTTATAAAAAAGTCACCCATCAAAGAAAAGCCCAGGGCCTGATGACTTCATTGCTGAATTCTAATAGATACTTAAGAGAAAAAACCAATCCTCCTCAAACTTTTCCAAAGAAGTCAAATAAAGGGGAAAATGACAAAAATCATTTTGTAAAGCAAACTAGACAAGGATACCAAAAGAAAAGGAAATTGCAGGCTGATATCCCTGATTCACATAGTTGCAACAATCCTCAATGAAATACTGGCAAACCAAATTCAACAGCCTATTAAAAAGTTCATTTACCATGATTAGGTGGAATTTATCATTGGCATGCAAGTATGGTTTAACATATGCAAATCAATATATGTGATACACCACAGTAAGAGAATGAAAGTCAAAAACTATCTGATTATATCAACAGATGATGAAAAGATATTCAACAAAATTCAATGTCTTATGATTAAAAAGAAAACCTCTCAACAATTTAGATATAAAGGAAATGTAGCTCAGCCCATAAAGGCCATATATGACAAGCCCAGAGCTAAGATCATATTCAACTGTGAAAATTTGAATGTTTTCCCTCTAAGATCAGGGACATGACAAGGATGTCCAGTCTCACCACTTCTTTTCACCATAGCACTAGGAATCCTAGCCTGACAAATTAGGCAAGAGAAAAAAATTAAAGATATCTAAATTTAAAATGAAGCTGAATTATCTCTGATCTTATATTTAGAAATTACTGAAGACTCCATAAAAGCAAAACAAAACAAAAAAACAACTGTTTGAATTAGTAAATGAATTAAGTTGGAGGGCACAAAATCAACTTGCAAAAATCAGTAGCATTTCTATGAAATTAGGAGCCATGTACAGAGGCATACACCTGTAATCCCAGCTATTCAGGAGACTGAAGCAGGAGGATTGCAAGTTCAAGATTAGCCATGGAAACAACAAGACCTTGTCTCTCAAAATAGAAAACTAATTTTAAAAAGGTCTGGGGATATAACTCAGTGGTAGAGTGCCCCTAGGTTCAATCTTCAGTTCTCCACACCAATTGTACTAATTTATGACTAGCATATTTTTAATTATGAAAATGTGTTTTCTAAGTGAAATTTACAGAGACAGTAAGTAGAATGGTAGTTGCTATAACAGTTATGGTTTAATGGAAAAGTCTGTGGGGTGTTGAAAGGTTCTAGATAGTGGTGTTGAGGATCATAAAGTAAGGTGAATATACTTGATGCCCCTGAACAATACACTTAAAATGCCTACAATTGTAGGTTTCATGTGCATACACAACCATAATAATAACAACAAAAAAGCATTATGGACATTAAATCAGTGGCACGGATCAGAAGTAGAGGTAAGGCTCAGGAACGGGCACCATTCACACTGTTAGTACATTCGTAAACTTATATACCCTCTTTCAAAGACAGAGCCTCAGATAGAGGTTCTAGAGAGTGATCTCTCAGCATTTTAAGAAAATATCACAGCACATGTTCAGGAAAATGGCAAATGATCTGGGGCCAAAGTGATGGAAGAGCCACACTGTTCTGGGGAAATCAATGAGGGGCCGCAGAAGCCATGGCCCAGAGCAGTCAGGTATGAGCAACTTCAAGGAGGTACATTCTTCCATGCTGGGAGAGAATATATCAAGCTGGTGTGGTTGGGGTGGTGCCTTGTTCCATATGCACTAATGGGCCCTTTGCCACATGGCATAAGACGTGGAGGCCAGCTTGCACAGGCCCATGGAAGTAACACATGGGATGGACAGTGCGGGCCTGAGCGCTACAGTTTAGAACTTGAATGCCCCTTAAAAGCACATGTGTTAAAGGTTTGGTCCCTAGAGTAGCACTACTGCAGAATGGTGGAAGCTTTAGGTGGTGGGGTCTAGGGGGAGACCCTTAGGTCATCTGAGGTGTGCCTCAAAGGGGATTGTGGGACCCCAGTCTCTTTCTCTTTCTCTTTGCCCCTTGGCTTGTGATGTAAGTAGTTATGCTCCCACTATGATGGGCTGCCTTACCATCAGCCCAAAATAAAGCACGAATTATGGACTAGAACCTATTAAACTGTGAGCCAAAATCAATCTTTCTTCTTTATATGGCAATTATCTCAGGTGTTTTGTTATAGTGATGGAAAGCTAACACACTGAGGAGGGTGAACTGTTGGCACATATCAAGGCATGAAGACTGTATACCATACCCTCAATCCATTCTTTGTCTTAAAATAAACTTTAAGCTACTCCACTTCTTTGACACCAATCATTCTGCCCCACCACACCTTGAAGGACAGCAGCCCATTAGCTACAGGACCAACATGCTGGATTGACATTGTTTATATGCTTGCCTATCTCCCTTACAGACTGAGTCTGTTGCAGTAGTCAAGGCTGCTTTTTCCTGAGATGGAGGGACAAAAGCATACGAGGATGCTGTAGAAGGTGCAAACCCAGTGTTCAGAGGATATCATTTCTTTCTTCTATGACATTCAAACCCTGAGGCTCTTAGCCAGTCATTTCCAAGGGCAAGCTCCAAAGACATCATGATGATGGCCAAGAGCTAGGACTGGCCCATCTCAGGGCTCAGCTCAGCAGACCTGGTACTACCAGGGGCAAAGGGGCTCCTTGGAGCTGGGTGCGCAGTAACTTAGCTGCTGCATTACTTGGTAGCAACACAAATTAGTTAGAGTAGGCTTCTCTCAGCTGCTGCCAGAGTCCAACAGGAAACCCAGCATAGGAGAGACCCAGGAAGAGCCTCCTAAAAATCCCCAGAAGAGAACCCAGGTGAATATTTACCTTAGAAGCTGGCTCTAGTGCTCCTCTCAGAGCTGAGAAAGAGTCATATTTGACTTCAGAAATGGTTGGGGGGAACTGAACCAAAGACAAGTGCCAGTAAGCCAGTAAGTGGCTGAGCAATGGGCCAGGGAGGTGACCCTGATCAGGGAAGAGGCAAAAACCAGAGAAGAGCTACAATACTCAAGTTTCTAGTTGCATTGAGGGAATCAAATTTCTTCTCTGGGTTCCTAAGGACTCAGATGTGGGGTGTGTGTATGTGTGTTTGTGTGAGGTGGGGGGGGGGGAGAAAGAGAAAGAAAGAATATGAATATGAATGAGAATATGGGAGAAGTTTCATTTCTCTGCATGGATGCAAGAACCCAGAGGCCAGAGGCTGAGGGCACATCATCTCCCTGCCCTCCCCATAATTACCAGAAATTGTAGGTTTAACCCAGATGCCTCTTAGAAAGTTCAGGAAGCAAGGTGGTTGGCCCCGGCATTGGTGGGTTTAAACACCAAGCCAGATTATTCAGTGTAAAGAAGAGCTGAGGGGGGCTGGGGATGTGGCTCAAGTGGTAGCGTGCTTGCCTGGCATGCGTGCGACCCGGGTTCCATCCTCAGCACCACATACAAACAAAGATGTTGTATCTGCCGATAACTAAAAAAAAAAATAAATATTAAAAAATTCTCTCTCTCTCTCTTAAAAAAAAAAAAAAAGAGCTGAGGGCCACTAATGAAAGAAGGAAGGCCAAACCTTTGGTGAGGCCCCCACATGGGGGTAGGTGGGTGGAGTACAGAGGAGCTCAGGGAAGCAGAGAGCCCATGGCTTCTCTCTGGAAGCAGAGAGCCCATGGCTCCACATGGGAGGGCTGGTTTGGGGCCAAGAAAGGCCAGAGCTCTGACCCTTGCCCTTAGTCCCCATACACAGTAATAGTGACCAATATGTTCCGAACATGTGCTCTGTACTGGGCGCTGCTGGATGCAGCACTGGTGCCATCCCGCTGAATCATCTAAAGCGATTGCTTTTGAAGATCAGGATCCCTGAGCGTGGTCTGGAAACCCCGCACAGCGCCTAGGATGCCCAGTAAACTGCAGAGGCTGAGGTCACAGTCCTGGTGCTGTCCCAGCCCTCCACAACCTGTCTCAGGGTGGGTGCTCCGAACAGAAAAAGGCCTGCAGGCTTCTGGGGTGGGAGACTAAGGTGGGGCTCTGCAGGGATTGAGGCATAAGGCGCGCAGGGATCCAGCCCAGTCCAGATGCGGTATCTGACCACCCTCAGCATTTTGCAGATCACTCAAGCTGGGATCAATTCTGTTTTTCTGGTCATTTTGTAAAGCTTGGGTCTAGTATCTGTTTTTTTTGTGGCTTTTTCTTTTCAGTTGCTATTTTAAATTTTCATCATATCTTTTGGAAGTAAGAAAAATCCTTGGTTTCATACGTCTGGAGATCTAGTATTGTTTCCTGCTAATTCTGCAGGTAGGCGTGGATTTTCCACAAACAAAAGTCACAGATGTTCACCCAGTTAGGAATTGCCATGGATTCCAGTATCAGCCCTCTCCAGACCCTGCAGGTCCCAAACACTTAATAAAACAAAACAGGCCAGAGATCAAGTATCAGAGTGAAAGAGGAAAGCAAAGTGAACTGGAGGAATCATTCCTAGTCTCCACCCCAATGATTTAGGTTTTCAGGTGAGCCCAGGATCTGTCTTTTTAATTTGGGGGGATGCTTCTGCTGCAGCAAGACTTGGGAGGCTGTGGCCTGAATGACCCATAAACTGGAAAATTGGCTCCTGTATCCCAGGTGGCTTTACTTTAAAGAATAAAGTAAGCAGATGGTTAGGCCCACAGAAAGGTGGAAAGAACCCTTCCAAGGACCCAGCAGCCCTGAGTTTCATACCCTCACTGCACAGTGTTAACCAGTCATTAATCCCTATGACCTCAGTTTTCTTATCTCTGACATAAGAAAATTGAACAACCTAATCTCTTATTGTTTCCTATTATGAATTTATCTGATTCTGTGAGACCTGAATTTCTTATTCTTCAGTGAGGGTAATGATATTTTGAAAGGGCTTGGGATCAGTCCCCAGAGAAAAGAGTTGTGAAATTTTTAGCATCTCCTCCTGATTTCATGAATTTGACAAGACCTTTCATCTAGTTCTCTCATCTTTCTTCCCCTCTGCTATTCAAGGGATCTCTGACCTAGAGGCAGTTCCCTCTCTGCTCAGCTCTCAGAAATCTCTCCTCTGACTGTTCTTACTGACTGTCCCTAGAAACTTGGAATCATAGGTTTCAAACCTGGCAGGGTATTAGGGTCACTTGGGAAACTTTTATAAAATCCTGGTGCCCCAAACAATTGAATCAAATTCTTGTTGGGGGAGGAGGCTTAGGCATCTGTGGATTATTGTTGTTATTGTTAGTTAGTTAGTTATTTGTTTGACTCTAGACAGGAACTGGCTAAGTTGCCTGGCTGGTCTTGTACTTGTGATCTGCCTGCCTCAGCCTCCCAGAGAGCTGGGATTAGGGCAGGGAATGGTGGTTGGCACAAGAAACTTGGAGCTACTGAGCAGGGAAATCTCAGAGCTGGGTTTCCAGGTTCCTCTTCACCCAAGTAAAGGCAGCAAGTCTGAAGGATTGAGTTTTCTGCATTCACAGGTCTTTTTTGCTGTGGCCTACTGCCAACGGTTTAGATACATCAGATCAATTTTTTACAGGACCAAGCATCAAAATTACTGAAGTGAAAGGAAAAGCCAAGCCAAGTGGCACCACCATATACTTACTAGTTGACCTAAGTGAAGTCTTATTAGACTTCTGATTTGCAACGTGAGGCTGGCATTTCTCTTCTACCATATAGTGTGGTTAGGTGGATCTAATGAGATAACATATGTGAATTTGTTCTGTAAAATATAAAATTCTATGCAAATTGAATGGACTTAAGTACTTTATATGTAAAAAGAATTTCCATATTTAAAAAATGATATCAATTATTTACAAATTAATCTATAGATTAAAAGTAACACCAAACCCAATTAAAATCCCAGAAGCTTTTTTATAGAAATTAACAAGATGATTCTATAATTTACATGAAGACTCAAAGGACCTAGAATAGCAGAATAGTTCTAAAAAGGCTGTAAAAACTTGAAATATATTTCCTGATTGCAAAGCAAGAGTGCTCAAGATAGTGTGGTATCAGTGCAAAGATAAGATATGGTTCAGTAAAATAGAATAGTAGATCTAAAAATCAGTTCATATACATATGACCAATCGATTTTTGACAAAGTTGCTAAGGCAATTCAATGGCAAAAGAATTTTTTCAACAAATGGAACAAAGACATAAATAAAAGAGCTGTAACTATAGAACTACTAGAAGAAAACAGAACAATCTTAGGGTAAGACCTTGGGTTAAGAAATAACTTATTAAGTGGCATACAAAGTGCAAAAAGTAATAAATTAGATTTTACCAAAATTAAAAACTTCTGTTCTTCCCAAATAGTGCTAAAATATCAAAATGTAAGCCATGGACTGTGAGAAAGTATTTACAAAACACATATCTGACAAAGGAATTTTATTTGTATTATATAATGAATGCTTACAATTCAATATAAAAACTCAACTTTTAAAAACTGAGCAAAAGACTAAAAATATACTTTACCAACAAAGAAATATGTACAGCAAATGCATACGTGAAAAGATGTTCACCATCGTTAGTCACATACCATTGCACATCTACTGGAATAGCTAAGATTAAAGTGACTGACAAGTAATGGAATCTGAATTTCCTGTGCGTTGATGGTCAGAATGAAAAATGCTATGGTCAACTGGAAAAAGTTGGGCTCATTTCTTAGAAAATTCGATGGGCACTTCCCATATGCCCCAGGAATTCCACTTCTACCACATGTCCATAATGATTTACTTGCAAACTTTCTTAGTTCTGTTCATAACAGCCCCAAACTAGACACAAATTCTAATCAAGTAGTGAAAAGATAAATAATGGAATATGATTTAGAAAAAGGAATGAACTGGAGGTTTATGCTTCAGTGTGGATGAATTGCCAAATTGTTATACTAATATAGTGAAAAGCCAGACACCAAGGCTCTCTACTATTTGATTTCATGTATATGAAATTCCACAAAAGGCAAACTGCACTGATAGAAAGTAAATCAGAAGTTACAAAGGGTTAGGGGGCAGGGTAAGAAGAGGGAATTAAACGCAGAGGGTCCTAAGGGAACTTTTTTTTTTTTAAAGAGAGAGAGAGAGAGAATTTTTAATTTTTTTTTTTTTCGTTTTTGGCGAACATAACATCTTTGTTTGTATGTGGTGCTGAGGATCGAACCCGGGTTGCACGCATGCCAGGTAAGCTCGCTACCGCTTGAGCCACATCCCCAGCCCAGGGAACTTTTTTTGATGATGGAAATATTCTATATCATAACTATGGTGATGGTATACAGTTATATACACTTGTTAAAACTGAGTTTTTTTTTTATCAAACATGATGAGTTTTATTTTATGACATTATTTCAAAACAGCTGACAGAAGATATTGACAATTTCTGCCTGCAAGACACTGTGATGGGAATAGCAAGAGGAATCAGTCCTGGCTTCTGTCCACAGTGATCACAATAAAAACATACCAAAACAATGGCAATCAAGCATTGAAAGTGCTACAACAGAGATCTGGGCTCAGGATAGAGAGGTTAATTCTAACCAGTGGTGGGAGAGCCAAGTAGATGGTCCTTGAGCCAAATCTTGAAAGATAGGTAATGATTTGCCAGGTAATTAAGGTGAGAGAAGCAATTCTAGGCAACAAAAGAAAACCTTCCATGCTGGAAATAATCCATTAGATTCCAGGAAACACAAGTGGTAGGTTGAAACCCAGTATACCTGGAAGAATATATCTGAAGATAAAAGTGTGCATGGTGGTACACGTAGGCACATGTGTTGTGGAGGGTTGCATAATGCATGCCCAGGTGTACAGCCCGCAGTGCAGGCAGCTAAACTAGAGGTTGCTTGAGTGAATTTCCTAAGGTATCAAATAAAACACAGACACACAATTTACCTTTAAATTCAAGCCCTGGGACAGCTCCTCTGCCCTCGGCCTCAAGCTCCTCAAATGGGAGAGCAGGGAATATCACAGAGGCTGGCGAGAGAGCGCTAGGTTGTTTTGGAGTGGTCTTTTATTGTGGGGACTCTGGTTCTTAAAAATTTCCATCCATAAAAGGTCAAGAGGGGCAGGGTTATAAGGACAGGTAAGGTAATAACTCGATCCCTGGGGATGTAGGAAGGCACGCCCATGCATGAAGACACATTTGGCTGCATTTTTACTACTCTCAAGATGGGGGCTACCATCTACAGCCACTTAAAAGTAGCCACATCATTGGGGATGACTGATAGTGCCTCAAACCCATCAGGAGAGGAAAACGCTGGTTACATGACTTGGTGGCTCCCACACAGGTGCTCACAATTTATCCCACAAAGAAAATCTACTGAATAGTTTTAAGCTATAACAAACATACCCAGCTTTGTGCCTCGTACATATTACTCTGAAAGCAGAGAGAAAGACAGATTGGAGGGTGGTGGCAGCTAGTTTGAAAGCCAAGAGACCAACTAAAAGAAGACTGCACTCATTCAGGTAAGCCATGATTTTGTTCTTGAGTAGAGGGATGTAGAAGGATGTAGAGGGGAGGTTTATGAGAGCTATTAAGGTAGCAGAACTGGGCAGCATCCTTGAGGATGCTGCAAGGGAGAATGATGAAGAGTCAAAGATGACTGCATGGATTCTGGTTTGGGTGACTGGATGGCTGATGGTCTTCTTTTTTTAAGAATTAATTATAATAGTGTTGTTAATGTTAATATTCTTTTTTAATTCTTATTTTTAGGTGTAGATGAACACAACACAATGCCTTTATTTTTATGTGGTGCTGAGGATCGAACCTGGGTCCCGCCCGTGCTAGGCGAGTGCTCTATCACTGAGCCACAATCCCTGCCTTGGTGGTCTTCTTAATCAAGCTTGGGAATGCAAAGGAAGAATGAGTTTGGGAGAGAATGATAGCTTCAGTCAGAGAAATGTTGAGTTTTATGTGATGGAATATTCTAGTAAAATGTTTAAAAGGAAATTGAATACTCACCAGTAAGATTCAGAAGAGAGTAGATGTATGGTTCACAGTAATCCACTTCCTGGTAGCATCAAAGCCAAGTGATGAATGAGATTTCCCAGGGCATTTACACAAGGTGGCAGGGAAGGCACATATTTATGAAAGGGATAGGCAGCAGTACGAGGTCTTGAAAGAAGCTGAGAAAAGGTGTTAAACAATGTGGAATTGAAGCAGGAGAGTGTAGTGTAGTGTAGTTATCAGAGAAGACAAGGAACAAGAAAGATTTTAGAGAAAGATATAATCAACACTGTCAAATGCCACATCAAAGTAAAACATGATGAAATAAGAAAGAATCCACTGAAATTGCAAAATGTGAGATGGCTGTTGTTATGTGCCAAAGTAGTTGCTATGGTAGCAGAGATTGATTACAGAGGGCCAAGGAATGAGTGAGATGGAGGGAAATGGAGAAAATGGGCAGGTAGTTTGGCAGTAAAGTGGAAGAGAAAGAGAGGTAGTGAATAGGGAGGAAGAATATAAAATCAAAGTATTTGTTTTTGAAAACTGATGAGACTACATGTTTTATAGGCTATTGAGAAAAGCCAATAAAATAAAAATTGTTGAAACTGTACACAAGTGGCCCAATGTATGAAAGCCCTAGTCATGGAGATGACAGAAAAGGTAGAATTAAGAAGAGGACGCCTTTTCCTTTGGGAATGGAGGAAGGAAATAGGGGAAAGTACATATCTAGGTGATTCTGAAGGTATGAGAACAGAAAACTGAGAGAGTTCATGACTGAAGACTAAATGTCTTAATGGGTTTGAGAAAAGAAGGGAGAGTAGGAAGAGCCATTGCAAGGTATTGGAAAGGGAGCTAATTAATCTGTGATTGACAAAGGTATTGAGGGTTGGACTTCACATATTTGCAGTGTCATGTGTCTAGAATGCATGTGTGATTTCTCTGCATTAGGATTGAGTTGCATAAGTGTGGCAGCCAGGAGAACAGGTCACTGGATTCATCTGAGATTTGGATGTAATAGGAGAATGTGGTAGAAATGCAAGTTGGTGAGGACCCTTTCAAATTTATTAACAGAGCAGAGAAAGTGAGGAACCACAAGCACAAGCCAGATGGAGAAAAAACAGAACCAAGGTGGTAGTATTAATGGGATAAAAACAGAGCTCAGAGGTTGAGGGGGCCCCTCCATGAGTTTGATGCGAAAATTCATTGAATAGCAGGATGATAGAAGGTTATGGTCAAGAGTAGGGTACTCAAGGATGATAGGACTTCAAAGAGAAGACAGATCTGGGTGACACCAAGATCCAAACTCTGGTGATGTGAATGGGAGACCTAAATGAAGAGGAGGGAATGTCAAGGTGCCTGTACCAAAATGTTACTTGCATCTTTTCATGAGTGTTAAAGCCCCCAGGATGATGTGGGTAGTAAGCAAGTCTTCAGGGAATGGGGAAGAGAAAGGGTGGACAAGACAGATGTCACCCATATGGTATGTATGGTGAGCATGGCCTGGACTTCAAAGAAGTTTGTACATAACAGGAGAAGAGTAACGGGCTGAAAGGAGCAGCAAGGAGAGAGGATGCTGCTGGCAGCTGAGGTTTCTGTGATATTTGGAAGGGTATCACAGAACCCTAAGGAAGTGGGTGCTCATTGTTTCTGCTTAATTAAGTGTGGGGGATCTTAGATCCACATGAATCTTGGTGAGAAGTTTTGCTAATACCCTGGAGAAGGAAAAACAGGAGACTATTCAGGGACAGAGCCTGGAAAAGATTCCTTCCCAGGAGGTTTCAGCGTCATTTCCTAGGACGTTTACCACCTGATAGAATTAGCAGTGGCTGATGGTTACTTGAAGGAGAAAGATTTTATTTTCAGACTTTCTTCAAAGGTCAAAGATTGTGCCCAAAGCTTTCTTGATAGGTATTTGTTTAACAGAATTGAACTAAAGAGTTGAGCACATCTGTTACATGGGTAACAGAACTTCAGAGCAGGAGGGAGCTATGGTGTAGGGGGCCACTACTTGCATGCAGTTTCGTGATCTCCATTCTCCAGCCCCAGCTCACTGCCCTGGGGTCGGGGCAGGTGGCCTTCAACAATCCCTGTCTATTGTACTTCCCCAGTCTTGTCTGGCTCTTCCATTCCTCCCTGCACATGTGTTCATCTCTTCTTGGAAGGAATCATCCCCACTGCTGTCTGGATAACTCCTACTTATTTTTCAAGTCTCAGGCATAGCCAAACTTGTCTCCTTGTGAAGCTCTTTCTGGCTCTCCTGGGCATACTGAGGGGACCCTTCTGCTGCATTCCTATGCTCTCTCGTACTTTCCTTAAAGTAATGATCTTACCATAGTAGAATTGCCTTCCTTTCTCTTCACTGGACTACAAACACTTTGAAGTTAAGGGCAGGACCAGGACTTTTCACATTATATAGGTAGCTCCTAAAACAGTAGTGGGAACAACTACTAGTTGAATGAATGAATGAGCAAATAAGAGAATGAGTAGTGGAGAGACACTTTGAACTCAAACAGCCTGGGACTCATTTTTATTATATGATGTAGTGTTTTATGAGTTAGTAGAAATTTTCAAGTCATTACCTGCAAAAACACCATAACTTTAAAAATGTTGATAAGCTGGCCATAATTGGCAGGATACATGGTATCCATCATGTTACTTCTATGATCCCCAGAGTCTGGTGATGGGGAGAGAGTAACTAGAAGGAGAAATTGCAGGCTCTTCCTTGACATAATGGGCTCATTTCTCACCTTCCTTCCCTGGATGCCCTAGTGTTCCTCCACCTCTGTTAAACTTTTCTTCTGACACATTCTGTGAATGGTCTCTCAGATTCTAACCTTCCCATTATTTCCATCTCTACTACTCAAATTTGAATTTGAATTGTGTCCAAATTTTCCAGTTGGCTTTCCAGACTCATGTCTCCTGCTACACTATATAGCTAATGACAGCCTTCCTCTCCTCAAGAACTTGCCATGGATCCCTAGTGCCTTTTGCTTCAAATCTAAACAATTTATCTCTGAGTTCAAGGCTTTCTAGCAATGAGTTTCCCATTAGCTACTGAGTCTTCCCTCACTGCTCACTGTCTTTTGCTGGATTGTTCTATTTCCTGTCTGACTTCTGTCCTTGCTAATCCTCCTAATTAGAATATTTTTTTCCATTCCTCTTGAGCAGTTGACATCTGACCCTTCTAAGTTTAGCTTGAGACTAGTCCTCCCCATTCAACCATTGACTGTTCCCCCTGTCTGTCATGATATTTGTTTTTCCTCTTTGCTTCCTCTCCATACTTTTGAATACAGTTTGGACTTAATTTCTAGCACTTCATTATAGCTTTCCACAGCATTTTTCCAGAACTATTTTATTTCTTCAGTTCAGCTTGAAGCTCCTGCAGTACCAGGAATAAATAGCCTGACTCTGGGGTGTGATTCCCCAAACACCTGGGTACTGCTGGACTTTGTTCCAGGAGAGACTTTATGTATATCTTACTAGTTTAAAGACTGACCACGGCCCCCAAAGATACCAGGCCTTAACCCTATAATGTTACCATATAAATGTTACCATAGTTAAAAAAAGGATCCTTGTAGATATGATAAAGTTGAGGCTCTTGAGTTGGAGAGACTAGCCTGGATTGTATGGGCCCCAAATGCCATTATATGCATCCTCATAGGAGAGAGAGGGAGATTTAATACAAAGAGGAGAAGACCATAGGACCACAGAGGCAGACGCTGGAGGGATGGAGCCACAAGCCAAGGCATGCCAGCTGCATTCCACCTAACACATGATTCTTAGTTTTAGTCTCAGAGAGAACTCAGCCCTGCCACCTTCTTGATTTCAGGCCAGAAAAACTGATTTCACACTCCGGCCTGCAGAATCCTCAGAAAAAAAGATCTGTGTTGGTTAAAGTCACCAAGTGCTTTGCTCCAGAAGCTGAGGAAACTAAAACAATTGTTGTATCTGTATTTATTGATTAAATTAAAAATTGTGGGTTGATTTTGGACTCCCTTAAAGAGGTTTTGGAAGAGATCCTCTTTCATCTGGATTTCTCCAAGGCATTTGCAGTAGTGCCTCCATTTACCTCAGGGCTGCTGTGAGGACCCAAGGAGCTTTCTCGACACATAATCATGGGAACAGAAGACTACATTTGCTGCTTGGCTTAATCCTCATAACAATTTGGGGGGTAAGTACTATTAGTTACCCTTCCTCACACACAAACAAGGAAATCAAGGCTCAGAGAGAAAGAAGTGCTTGTCCAGGGTTATACAGAACTCCTTTATGGAATGGGACTTTGAAAGCTTGTTTGTGGACTGGGGATGTAGCTCAGTGGCAGAGCTCTTGCCTAGCACATTTGAGGCACTGGGTTTGATCCTTAGCACCACATAAAAATAAACAAATAAAATAAAGGTATGCTGTCTATCTACAACTACAATTTTTTTTAAAAAAAAGATCTCTCTTTTGTCATGTGTCTCTAGATTCATCTTTTTTTTTTTTTAAAATCTCAGGGTCATTTTCATTGTCTCAGTCAGTGATCAAATGAGTAGGGTTTGCAGCCAGATAAATCCTAGGCTCAAAATCCAGTTCTGCCACTTGATAGCCACTGTCCTTAGAAAGTTCTGAACTTCTTTAAAAAGAAAAACTTGATATTGAACTTGGTAAAAACTTCTTTATCAAGTTCAATATCTAAAATATTGGATCAGTGATGGTAATGGTATAAATAATTGTGTGGTTCTATAAATGATAAGATCATATATAGAGAGTTATTTGCACAGTGCCTGGCACATTGTAACATATTATCATATCTTTTTTGGGGGGGTTATCAGGAATTGAACTCAGGGGTGCTTGATCACTGAGCCATATCCCCAGCCCTATTTTGTATTTTATTTAGAGACAGAGTCTCACTGAGTTGTTTAGCACCTTGCCTTTGCTGAGGCTAGCTTTGAACTCACAACCCTCCTGCCTCAGCCTCCCGAGCTGCTGGGATCCCAGGCATGTGCCCCATGCCTGGCCATCTCAGCATATCTTAGCCATGACTTTTTTTTTCTTTTTTCTTTTTTTTTTTCTAAGAGAGAGATAGAGAATTTTAATATTTATTTTTTAGTTTTCAGAGGACACGACTTCTTTGTTTGTATGTGGTGCTGAGGATCCAACCCGGGCCGCACTCATGCCAGGCGAGCGCGCTACTGCTTGAGCCACATCCCCAGCCCCTTAGCCATGACTTTTATTGCTGTTTTTTTAAAAAATAAATTTAGAAATTATCCTAAATTCTCAATATATTCAAATCATGGGAACTGAATACCAAATTATTAGTCTACAAATAAATTATTAGTCTACAATAAGGTTGCCAATGAGCTGGGGTTGTGGCTCAGCGGTAGAGCACTCACCTAGCACGTGTGAGGCCCTGGGTTTGATCCTCAGCACCACATGTAAATAAAATAAACATAATGTGTTTTTACAACTAAAAAATAAATACTAAAAAAATAAGGCTGCCAATCAGGCCAGATACCATGTTATCCTTCCTTTCTCCTCCCTGTGGATAGGGACAGGGATTAACAGAAATTCTTACGCTCCACCCCACATTTTAAAAAATATATTCTGATATGGGTATTACTCCTTTTTTTTTTCAATGTCATTTTACCTTCTTTTCACAGTATGTCACATTTCCAAGTTACTTTACATTGAGCTATGGCTCCTTAATTTAAAATTTCAATAAAAAAAGATTAACTCTTCTCTGACCTTTGAGTCCAAGATCCTGGACACTGAATTACTTTGGGAACTCTAATCTCTCTTTCTGTCCATGGATGACAGTATTTGTCCTCAAAGGAAAGAAAAATAAGTTTTTATTTGAGAATCAGATGATGTATCATAGAGTTGCAAAGAATTCCCTGCTAGAAAACTCAGTAACAGAAGGCCAAGTGCATTAGTTAGAGATGCTATTGATGCAAAGGGAATGGAACCAAGTGTCCTCAGCTGCCCTTAGATTATCCTTCCTGAGATATTCATCTGGGAGTAGGTCTTACATTCCTGACATTTGCAAAAGGAGCCTGCGGGACTTTTGCCTTAAATGTAGGACCAGCTGGTAGCTCTCTCCTACAGTCATCCCTGAAATATTGTGAAATTCCTTTGTTTCCAGGAGCCTATGAAGGGGACCTCAGAGATATGAGTGGGTAATTACAGAACACTCTTAAATCAAACTCATTTCAGGCCCCAGAATTGGCCAAACATATTTGTTTTTGCCCTTCTTTCTCAGCCTTCCTTATACTTTCTTTTTGTGTGCACATTTGTTAGTTTACATAGAAGACTCTAAAACTGATAATGAAGTTTAAATACCTTTGGGGAAAACTGGATATTTGTTGTAACTGCTTTTAAGATTAAATTAAAATCCTGAAAGGCAAGAAGTGTATCATAGTAATATCAAGAAAGAGCAAATCTCAAACATGTTATTTTAGAAAAGAAACTTCACATATGATTTTAGGTTTATAGCCTCCCTCAAACAAAACTTCATATCTTAGCCTCTTATTCTGAAGATTATGATTATGTTGCTTTAGGTTGTTCACTTTATCCTATGTAAGAAAATACAGTGTGTAACATTTGAGTATCGTATTTGTTCAAACTCAATGTGCCCTCTTGTCCAGTTCTTCTTATTATTTGTGGTAGTCAGCTTTCTGTCACTGTAACAAAATACCTGAGATAATCAAATGAAAAAGAGGAAAGGTTGTATTGTCTCACAGTTTTGAGACCAGTTGGTCCTGTTGCTTTGGGCCTGTGGTGGCACACAGCATTATAATTGCAAGCATGTAGTTTCAGAGCAAGCTGCTCACCTTGTGGCATCTGGGAAGCAAAAAGAGAGAGGAAGGGGCCAAAGTCCTACTGTTCCCTTCAAGGACATACCCACAGTGACCTAAAACCTTCTGTTATCACCTCTTACAGGTTCTACCACCTGCCAATAAAACCAAATTGGAGATGAAGCTTTTAACACATAGGCCTTGGAGTCCAAATCTATACTATAGTATTGTGGATGACTAAAATATATTCTTTATTAATAGGATTTGGCTGTTTTACAACTCTTGGATTTCTACTATAAGCTTTATTGACAATGAAGAAACTTCTAAGGCATTAAGTATAACTCAAAGAAATACCATACCATAATGAAGGTTAGGCTGTTTAGCCACATTTGAAACTATTTTTCCCTCCTCTTAGAAGAAAACATAGGGGAAAGGCTTCTAGACCTTAGACTGAATAACATCAAACAGAAGCAAAAATAGACAAGTGGGATTACATCAAGCTTAAAAGTTTCTGCATAGCAAAAGAAATCTTTAGCAAAATTAAAAAGCAACCTGTGGAATGAGAGAAGATATTTCTTGATGATATATCTGAAAAAAAAAGTCATCCACAAATTATGTAAGTAACTTCTATAATTCAATGGCAAAACAATCTGATTTAGGCAAAGGACCTGCCTGAATAGACATTTCTCCTGAAAAAAACATTAATATTTGGCAGGTAAATGGAAAGGTGCTCGATCCTACTGATAATCAGGGAAATGCAAATCAAAACCACAGTGAGATATCACCTTGAGTATATTAGGATGGCTATTAATCAGTTTTTTTAAATGACAAGTGTTCATGAGGATGTTAAAAAAAGGAACATTTGAATACTGTCGGTGGGAATATAAATTGGTGCAGCCAATTTATGCATGAATCAACATGAATTTTCCTCAAAAAAAAAGAACTACCATTTGGTTTAGCAATCCTATTTCTGGGTATATATCCAGAGAAAATAAAATCAGTATGTGAAAGAGACATCTGCATTTCTGTATTTATTGCAGCACTGTTCACAATAGCCAGGATGTGCAGTCAGCCCAAGTGTCCATGGACTGATGATTAAGAAAATGTAGTATATACACACTATGGAATATAACTCAACCTTGAAAAAGAAGGAAATCCTGCCTTTTGAGACATCATGGATGGTCTTTCAGGAAATTATGCTAAGTGAAATAAGTTAAGCACAAAAAAATAAATACTGCATATTCTCACTTATGTGAAGAATTTTAAATAGTCAAACATAGAAGAAGTGGGTAGCAAATTGGCTTCCAGGGGCTGGGGAGAGGGAGAAATGGGGAGGTGTTTATCCAAGGGTATAGAGTTTTAGTTATTCAAAATAAATAAGATCTAGAGAGTTATTGAAGAGGATATGGCCTACAATTAGCAATTCTGGATTGCATATTTAAAAATTTGCTTAAAGAGTAGATCTTGTATTAAGTACTCTTATCACAGTGGATAAAACAGGAGGGGCAGGAGGAAACCTCTGGAGGTGATGAATAAGTCTATGTCATTGACTGTGATGATGGCTTGATGGTTTCATGGATACTTATCACCAAACATATTAAACTGTACATAGTAAATATCTTAGCTTTTTATCATACATGTCAGTTATACCTCAATAAAGGTTAAAATGTATTTATTCCCAAACATAATTTTCTTTAGTTTTGACCAAATTTCTTTCTGTAGCTGAGGTAGGAAATGATATCCAACTGAGTTATTAACTCTTTCATTTGAGTCCATGTAATGATTCTCCCAACATCCTGTCCTCATGATCCCTCATTCTCTAACAACTCGGTATCCCCATATGGCACAGTGACACTTAGACTTCCCTAACCTAGAAGAGCTTCCCTTCCCCTCTCCCATTCATAGGTCCCTCTACTTTAACTGCTTTCAGTCTCTCCCTCTCCACTGCATTCCTCTGCCCAGCCTGGAAGCAGTGGTGTGCTCAAGAGCATAGCAACTGGCAGGGTGTGAGGGGAGGTGGCTGATGGTAGCATTTGCCAATTTCTGAGTCATTCACAGAATTTCATTTCCAGCACATGGCTGACTAAAACCTTCCTCGCTTCTGCCTTTACTTGAGCTTCTCTCCTCTTCTTTTGTAAAATATCTTCAAGAGCCATTTATAACCATTGCTTATATTTTCTAACCTTCTAATAAGATTGCACAACTTAGCCATGTACAATCTTATTCTGACCTCTTTAAAATCACTAGTTACTTTATTATTGTTGTTGCTGTTACAAAAAGAATCCATGTAAAATCTAAAAGTGAAAACTTCCATGGATGAAAGTGAACAAGCATGTAAGAGAGATATCATTGATGAGCTTTGAATGGCAAAACTATATTCCGTTCCTCCTTTTCTGTAACCTTTCTGCATTGTTGGTCACTAGTCACCTCCCCCTTTTGCCTGGAGCTCCCCCTTCTTTGGCTTCCACAGTGTTTCACTCTCTTGTCCTCCTGTCTCTTTGATCACACTTTTCTCCCTCATCCCCTCCTCTCCCATTTCTTCCTCCTCCACTCTCACAATGTCCCAAGAGCTCTATCTTCAGACTCCTTTTTTTGTCTTTCCTCTTTTCCATAGACCTTGATGTTGGTCAGTTACAAAACTTTCTACATGAGCGCTATCCTCTGAGCTCCAGTTAATTTCTTAGTTGTTTTCAGGTCCTTTCTTCCCAGCAGTATGAATAATTCATGCTGTGATTTATATTTATTTCCCAAAATGATTGCGTTGGAAACTTGGTCCTCAATGCACCAGTACTGAGAGATGGTGGTGGGTTCCTGATGAAAGAATGTTTAGCCTTTCTCTCTCTTGATCCTGTGATAACTTCCACAATATTAGGATTCAGCAAGAAGGCCCTCACCAGAGGCAGTCCCTCCATCTTGGATTTCCTAGCTTCCAAAACCATGAGCCAAATAAATTTCTATTCATTATAAATTACCCAGTCTCAGATGTGAATGCATAGCAGCACACCAAGACTAAAACAGTTCCGAGTATACTCCAGCAACTTCACCTTTATCTTCTCTGGCATCTGTATTTTTCCTGTGTCTGCTGGAAGGGCTGCCATCCTTCCAGTAAGGGAGGCCAATAGCCAATAGTGTCATGGGTATGGGTTCCTCTGTGCTCTTCACACATACATTCTGCTTCTTCCCTCACCCCAGCCTTTTCACCCCTACAATTTAGAACATCATTAGCTATTGTCATACTCAAACCTCTACAATTGCTCAGAATCCATCTCCAATGGAAGATTACCAGTCACACCTTCCTGCTCAGAAACCTGAAGTTCACCCTTAGCCTAGCAGGCAAAGCTCTCAGCGACCTGACCCCTTATTATCTTCTGGTATTTCTTATCAATGCCAGCAGTAACCTGCCCCCCGGACTTTGGCCCATGTAGTTCCCTCAGAGACACATCATCTCCAGTTTTTACATATCCAAATCTGTTCTTCTGCAAGGTTAAGTTCAAATTCCACCTATCCCATGAACTCTTTTCTGAGCTATAAATAACTGCATCTCTGAACTCAGAATACTTTGTAACATACCACTTTCTGCCTTGTGTCATAGTAATCCATGGAAAAAAAGAGGGAAATGAACATTTATGGAGTCCTTCATTGCATTAGAACATTTCATTAGCTTCTTCAGTGTATATATAACTCTGAATGGTCAATGATAGTACTCCTTGTTACAGAAGAGGAAATAGTGGCCCAGAGTGGCACTGTGAAATTGAATTCTAATGTTGGCCTGCCTGACCTCTTACCATGCATTAAGTCCCCTCAGATGGTAACCTCGTTGGGAATAAGGAACCGTTTTTCATCTCAGTATGCCTCAAAACTCCTACTGCAGGGTTTGGCACACAATTGGCACTCAGTACTCCTCAGGAGGACTGCATGAAGGATGGATTGATGGACGGGTCTGCCCATTGTTGTTTCCCAGCTGTGCCCAGGATGGCAGCTGTGCATTTCAGAGTTACACATGCTATAAATATCTCACCATCCATTCACATTTCCTTGTTTTTTTTTCCTGCTCTTTGTGTCCTACTTCTGTGTCTCTCTCTCTTAGACTGGCAAACTTTGGGGGAGGCAGAGACTGAATCTGTCATACTCTTTTGTTCAGATACTGGGCCTAACAATCAACACATGATTTCTGGTGATGAAAACAAGTTGTTTTCCAGGGTGATTTGGTGCTGCGGCTAGGCCAATTCTTATACTTCCTCTACCTCATTTTAATAGCTGAAAACTGCATGTAGGGTCCACTGTAACATCGTGTTATGAAAAGAGTTCGTTCTGGAGACTGCATATGTCAGTTGATTCTACTCCCTCCAGCCCTCCCACAGCTAGTTGTCTTGTGCCCTTGTTCTGCAACAAGCATGGGGCTTCCCTGAGAGCCACGCATGGTCCTGAGCCCCTCCTAACAAAGCTTTCCTATCCTTGGTCTCTGCTGGATCCACTTAATCTGATAAACTAACTGCAACTGAACAACTGTTCATGGATTTACTGTGCTCATTCTTTACTCCTTCCAGTTGAACAGAAGCTTTATGAAATAATTTAATTGAAAAAAAAAAGAAATTATAATGGTGAGAACTCAGGCACCCTATCATGAAAGATTTAAAGAGAAGGTGGCCCAAGCCAGTGGCCTGTATACTGGCCCCATCTGCACACATACACCCAATGCTCTCCACTTGTTGGCAGTCAGAAGTGCCAGGCTCTTGGTGCAGATCCCGTTAACCACCTTGCAATATGACTCTCAGGAATGGCTGATGAAACTGGTGACAAATACAAACATGATTTCCCTGAACAGTGGGGTGATGTGTCCCTTGGGGGCTGGGCATTCCCCTGGGATAAAGGAGTGGTTTGCCAAAGCTGACGAAGGAGCCTCAAAGACAGCTGGAAAAGGGTTTCTACTATTCTGACTCCTTGTCTATCAGTGATGCCTTTGACAATGTCAGACTGCCTTGTCTCTGTGACACTGCTATACCTTTGTGGAAACCTGGAGGGGAGGGAATACAGTACTGTCTGCTCTCAGTGAGGACCCAGAGGTACCGGAAGAACCCTTTGATATATGTGTGGGGGAGAGAAACACATTGTCGCTATACTGCAGACAGAATACCAGCAGCCCCTGCACGTGCTTTTGTTCTTTCAAAAGTACCAGAGACTGTCTAATTCCTTTGATGTACTGCTTTGATATTAGAAAATCCTTATTTTACCTCCAAATTAATACAAAAATCCCACCAAAGCCCTGGATTACTGGAGTGTAGATTTCATGGTCATGGATGGTTCTGAGCAGCTGTTGTGGGATTTTTGAGTTCTGAATGTACACTCACTCCCATGAAGTGCTTTGGGGACATCTAAGCTCTTGGATGCTTCCTCTGCCTGTCTTGTTCCTGTTCCAACATGTAGGTTAACCCAGCTATTGCAGCAACTGATCTGGGCTCATTCAGTAAGAGGTTGTCTCTTTTAATCCAGCATTAATGAGATGTGTTCTAGTTTATCTGCATATATTTATTTGTATCTTATCAGTGGATCATGAGATGAAGTTAACACTAGTAAGTAAAATTGCTCTACTGTGAGCAATTTTAGATATGTTGATTATTATTGGCCTCTTTTAAAATGTAAAGATACTATATTTAAAAAGAGGATGCATGACCCTGATAGAAAAGTTAGGAATACAGATAAAAGTCAGGCATTGTGCACAGATAGACAGGTAGATATATATACAAAAATAGATATTGAAAAAATGGAAGATAATCATACATATTATATATACTTATATTTAATTTCATATATGTGACATATTTATGCATTACATGAATAAATACAGAAAGATGCTCATCTCAAGTATTCATTGATGAAAATTCAAACTTTTTCTTTAAAGAAAAGGAAACCGAGGGCCTTTACTGATACAGAAGAAAGCAGGCTGACCTTCCAAAGGAGGTAAGGTCTGGTCTCCTGCACAGACACAACAAGCCTTTAGTCATAAACTGGCTTCT